CACACACACACACACACACACACACACACACACACACACTTTCTCTTTATCTCTTGATCAAATCCCACAAAACTTCTACATCACATTTCAGCCTGTAACTCACTCTCAGGCATCAGTTATTTAAAATATTAGTAATATCAGAATCCCCCTGAGATATAATTCTGTACATAAACTACATTGAGTCCTGCGATTAGATTCCAATCTGTAACTCACACCTGGGTATCCATTACTCTGCACACAAATCACCCCAAGCCCCTTGATTAAATTCCAATTGTAAATCATTCCTCATTACGTGTTATTTTATATTTAACCCCGATCACTTCGATTCGATTACAGTCTGTAACTCACTCCCTGCTATGTATTATGCTATATATAAACCAGCTGGGACCATCAATGAGATTGCAGTGTCTAATTCCATATAAACTAAACGGTTGAGTGTTAATCCAGGAGCAGTACCTGAAAGCTGCTGCTTAATTTCTACTACATTCTGTTTCCCCAATAAAATCAGACTGGAATTCTGTTAGATTTATGGAGTGTAACAGTTCAATAGACAGCTCACTACCACCTTCTCATGAACATTACTCTATATCTCACCCTGTGCTGTCCCTATCCTGGGAGTGTTTGATGGGGACAGAGTTGAGGTGATTTATTCAATATCTAATGCCATGCTAAACACGGCCTGAGAATTTCAAACGGCTTTCAGAGTATTATTAGATTTTTAGACAATGATCCTAGTCCTAGACTCCAGGAGCAGCAAGAAATCTTTCTCTTTATCTAACACAGAAGTTTCCATTATTCTCTTGAAAATTTCAATAATCCCAGATCCATCTAAATACCAGGGACAACCCTGGGTTTGCGTTATTTCACTCCCTCACCACTGAACTCTTGCTGTCCAGCTATCATTCTGGTGAGTCTACACTGCACTCAAATGGACATGCACTCCCACCTCCCCACTCTTCCTTGCCTTTGCCTATTTAGAAAGTCAACATCATTGCTGAGCTAACATGAAATGGCTGCCGTAAACAAACCTAAAATGGCTGAACTGTCAAACACAGTCAGAATCATTCACCTTGGCTTTGCAGATTAAAACACATCTCACATTTTGTGCATTATCATCTCTCAGCCTCCTACAGATGAAATACAGCGAGATGTGAACCAATATTTTTTGGATGTTAGACTGAGGAGAGACAATATAAACTAAATGGTACAAAGTTAAACTGAGTGCACGAGCAGAGAAGGCTTCAGATTGGATCTGGAATTCTGTCTGCACAGGACAGGGGCAAATGTGTCTAAAGTTGTTTCCATTCAGACTTTCCTGCATAGTTTGCTGATAGAAGCAGGATATGGGGAACTCTGTTAACAGGGATATGCAAGATTCAATTGTTTAAGATGCAAATTCCAGAATCTGTTTGAAGGGACTGCCCTAAGATAATAAAACTTTCAGCACTTTCTGTTTAACTTTCCAAATTTCAAACAGGCAGAGCAATAGGAATATATAAAAGGTGACATGTCAGATCAGCCACTGAATTGTAGGTGTGAGGCCTTGTTCAGGATCTGTCACAGAGTTTTAATTTGGATTCAGTCATGTTTTATCCTGAAAGCAGGAATTTATCGAATGCCACACTGACCTACCGTGACTTCAAATTTTGTGCTGTCTATAAATATTTTAACAAGTTTTAAAATTAAACAAACCTCCTGGACTCATAGAATCATGTGTGTTATTTGTATATATTTGTGAAGGAGTGAATGTGCATCTGAGAGAGTGAGTGTGTGCATATGTGTGAGAGACTAAGTGTGGGTGTTTGTCTGTCTGTGTATGTGAAGCAGAAACTTCAAAGGGATATTAATATCTTCAGTGAAAGAGAATATCTGACCTAGAGGGATTCACAGCAAGACTTCCTCATGTTCCTAATACCTTCTTTCAGCAATAACAGGCAATGTATCATTTTTCCTCGAGCTGTTGGCTCTATCAATATATTAACTTTCTGATACCAGCATCGCTCCCACCCCCCCACCAGATATAACGTTTCATAATTTCTCACCATTTTAAACAGATACATTCTGTTTCTCCTTCTTTTCCCCACCAATGTGAATCACATCACCACATTTTTTGTTACATTTCCGATATGTATATTCTAAACATAATTCACGTAATATAGGCAGTAGAATAAATGATATGGGAGTATGTAGCAAATTCTATTACACTCAGTACCTTCATGCTGCAATGTTATTATATCCAGTCAGAAAACTGCCCCCCACACAGGGGAACAATATCACTGGGTCTAGAAGGATGGACTGGGCTGGGAACAGGGAATTTAATATGTCCGAGAATTAGTTTGGAAATCTCTGCCACAAACGAAAATTTCTCCACATTATATTCCATCTGCCAAATACTTGCCCACTCAGTGAAGCCCCCTCGAACTGAATCTCTTATCGTTTTTTTTTCGTGTAGGGAGGCCAGCAGAGGGTGGCATTGTATCACTTTCAACACAAGGGAGCCTCACACAGGAGGGAAATTTCCAGTCAGATAATTAAGTTACATCATGCTTGACATTAATTACACTTCAATAAACAAACAGGTAAAGGCAATCATATTAAAATCATCTACTCCCTGCCCACTTATACCTTCAGGTTAATCTTCATTTTATGTCTTGCTTGTATTAACATTTAGGTTTTGTATTTGATGACAGTCGCAATAAGTTTGTGGATCACCTGTTAGGGTCTTTCCATCTGTAGTTTCCAATGTATTTCGACATTATGCCTGTCAATATCCTGCAGAATGATTCCTTTAGCGTTTTTTTATAGAGAACTGAGGAAATTGAAACATTTGCCACTGTCTTTCAGACAGCTGTTGCTTATGACCAATAGTCTGAACCTTTCCTCAGATTGTTTCAATCCTTTCCTTAGTGTCAGCCTTGGTTGAGAGGATGGACTCTTACCACCAAGTGAAAAGTTTCAGTGTTTCAGCCCAGAACCCAACACAATATCCAGTTGAACACTCAAGTGCTGTGCCAAGTGAGTGATGCCCTGTGGGAAATGAGATGCCAAATCTTTCAGCAGGATATACTCAATTCTTATAGAACCATAGTGCAGAAGAGGCCCTTCAGCGCGTTGAGTCTTCACCCACATGTGAGAAACACCCGACCTTCACAGCAGCATGGTGGTTCAGTGGTCAGCATTGTTGCCCCACAGTGCCAGGGACCCGAGTTAAATTCCACCCTCAGGCAATTGTTCTGTGTGGAATTTGCACGTTCTCCCCATTTCTGTGTGGCTTTTCCCCGGGTGCTCCGGTTTCCTCCCATAGAACAAAGGCAAGCAAGTTAGGTGGATTGGCCATGAGATATGCAGGGTTACGGGGAAGGGGGGGTGGGTCTCAGTAGGATGCTCTTCAGAGGTTGGTGTGGCTTCGATGGGCCAAATAGCCTACTTCCACACTGTAAGG